GGAGGCTCATAGAGACTGAACCATTAACCAAAGAGCATGCATTGACTGCGCCTAGGTCCCCTACACATGTGTACCTGGTTGTCAATTAAATCTTCCTGAGGGTTCCCTAGCAATTAGAGTACAGGTTGTCTCTAACCTGGAATCTGCTGCCTGCTTTTGGATCACTTACCCTAGCTGGACTGCCTTGTCTGGCCACAGTGGCTTGGTCCTGACACATTTTATTGTGTCAAGGTGGGTAGATAGGTGGAGTAGGGGCTTCCTTTTTCTGAGGAAAGGAGAGGGGAGAAAGGAGAAAGAACGTGGGATAGTGGGACTGGGAAAAGAAGAGGGATGGTGATTCAAAAGGGATGTTAAATTTGTAGAAGAAATCCTACCTTATACATAATGTGACAGATCTGGTAGAAAGAAGGTTTATTGTGGGAACAGGGGTGGGGAGGAGAAAGCAGGAAGGGAGAAAAAGAAGGGGTCCCATGACATAAAAAGAAAAAGAGACAGACAGAGAGTATAAGAGAGGAGTGGTAGGGAATCTGGTGGGGCCCTCCTATCAGGCACACACCTGGTGTATACTTGTCGGTGGCCAGTAATGATGCCAGAGTTTGCTAGGGCCCCGAAGAGCAGGCAAGTGGGTCCACCTGTATGCTAACAGTGGCCAAGGTAGGAATGCCGACAACATACCCTTCTCTACTGGATGTGCTGACTCCATAAAAGTCAAGTTTATCCCGTGGAGCGTGGGAAACACACACACTCATATAAATCTTTCAGGAATTCTTTCTTCTATGTCCACCCTCTCCTAATTAATGGCAGGACTTCAAGACATTTTCATAGTGGACACTGGGGCACAAACTAAGTCATTTAAGAACATGCAGACAAAGCAACAGGTTGATCAGATTTCAGATTTCCTGACAACTTTTTTTTTTTTTTTTAGCCATCCAAAGCAGCAAACTCCAATGTGCCCCGTAGGCCTGGGTAATATTTGTTTGTTTTGCTTTGTTTTGTTTGTTTGTTTCCAGACATGATCTCACTGTCCTGGAATTCACTATGAGGTTTGATCAAAACCTCAGAGATCTCTCTGAATGTTGTGATTAAAGGTATACACCATTATGACTGGACTATTACCTATATTTTGAAGTCAAACTTGTACACATGTCAGGTACAAGGCTATATTTTCCTACTAAAAATGAAAGGGGGATAGGTACCTAGCCTGCTTTATTTATCATGGAAAATGATTAAGAGATATTAGGAAACTAGCCATGTCATTATCCTAAGTCAGTCACTCCAGAGCCATACAGGGGACACGGACTTCTGTGAGAATCATGCTGAATAATTTAAAAGGATGTGGGATTCAGCTCCAAATTGATTTCATTAGAAAGTTAAATGAATTTGAAGTGAAATTCCTAAATGGCAAGGCATAAAAACATGTAGCAGGTGCTGCAGGAACCCCACCTGAACAAAGGCACTCTCCCCTTTCCTGGCTCTGGAACTGCACACTTCACAGCTGTACTCATTTGCAACTCTTTGCTTGAGGGCTTTCTCTTGACCTCAGAACCAGTGGAGTCAGGCTGCAAAGCCACAGAAGTTACTTTGGAGTTAATTATCACTCCTACTTCTTTCCCTTCTTGAAGCTGTTCACCAAAGACTAATAATAACTACTAGATACCCTGTTCCCATGCACTAACTGGATTTAGTGAATTGGAAAAGAAAGGAAAAAAGAAAGCAAGAAGTTGAGACAGGAAGGATGTTGAAGGTAATATAGGAAAAGTAAGAGGGAAAATAAAAAGGAATACATGAACATATTTTTTATACATATACATATATGAAATCATCAAAAGTAAAGAGATTTTTAAGAATGAGTTAACGGATAAATAATTGGGCTGGCAGTTCTAATATGGAGAAAGCTGATTAGATAGTGGAAGAAAAAGTTAATTCTGATGTGTATTAGTCAGCTTTCTGTTATTGTCACAAAATAACCAAGATGATCAACTCATTAAAAGAAAAGGCGTATTTTGGCTTGCAGCCACAGTCCATGGTCACTGGTTCTCTTGTTTTGTACGTGTGGTGGTCCATTACTTTACAAGATCAAGGGCTGGAGAAAGTTAGCCCTTTATTTGCAGCTGGCTTAGAGAAAACAAGAGAGAGAGAAATGAAATGAAGAACTCAGTTCTCCAATCTCTTCAATCCAGCTCCCCACCATGAGGCCCCACCTCTGGGCAGTGCTTCCATCTTCCTAAGAAACTAGAGGCAGGGACAAAGCCTTAACATGTGCATTGAGGACATATTCACAATTGATCCAATATGTACTACTGTGGGCTTCTGAAAACACTCAAATGCACACTGGAGCATCAGGAATAGACTAGACTGAATTTAGTTTAAACCAAGAATTAAGTGTAAACCTAAGCCTTTTGGATCAGGCTTCAAGCCATCAAGCGCCAGTGAGAATTGATGTTCAAGGTAGGCAAAGAGTAAATGACTTCCACACCCCTTCTCTGAGAGTGTTCTGTTGTTGCAAAAGCCAATTACATTCTAGACAACTTGAATGGGAACATGGGAAGTTATACTGCTTACATTTAACATTTTTTAGGAAGCAATGTGAGATGCCCAAAGAACCAAAAACCTCCCCCCCCTTAATTTGAAAAGTAACCTTCATAGGAAAATTTAAATAACTACAGACTTTAGGCTCAAACTTACTCTAAATTTTCTGTTAGTAAAAAGCTACTATTGAGGGTTTTTTTTTTTAATTTTTATTTAACTGTAGAGAGCATTGCTAGAAATAGTAAACTTACAAACTACCACAAACCAGAAGTGTTAAACCAAGCTTGTTTTTGCACTGTAAATGGATGCTGTCTTTCAATAGCCTATCTTTTCCAAAGTGTCTTTTTTGTACTGTTTTGCTCAGTGGAGAAACCATTTTCCCCCCTCAGGATGAAATTCAAATGGGAGACATTAGAAGCCACTTGAATGCTCATGTTCCTCACCCCAAATTGTTGTATTGTTTGGAGAGATGACATTCAATAGAAGAATACTTAACATAGTCATAAGAACTACCTATTGAAATACATATAGAAAAACTTAATCTCCTTAGGTATTTTTTCAATCTACCTGTCATGTTCAGATAACTATGACAGTGTTAAAGAACAGATGCTTTACTAGAATAGGAGCTTGCTACATATTGAATATGTGTAGTCCATCTTCAAGTTGTTAAATTAAATACTAAGATCCTTGGTAATGTTTATCTCTAAATGAATATGAATTTTCTCATAAAGCTGGATATGTATGGAATGAGAGACCATCCCTGTACTAGTGTTCAGTAAATATGTGAAGGTCCAAAATGTAAATATGAAGCAATATTAATTCCCACAGAAGTTTCACGAGTTAATGGTTAGTTACTCAGAAGAGTGCTTTCTATGCACAACAGAATGTCACTATTAAAGTCAAGTCATGAAATCTTCCCAGTGCTTTACTAGTACTCCCTGAAACATTTATTTTCAGCATGTTTTATAAAAGTTTTGTTTATATCCAATGTCTGTTTCAGTGGTTTTTTATTTTTTTATAAAGTATCAAAGTTTTCAGAGAAAACTGGATAGACTTAATCTATATACTACTTTCCCTCAGTAATATATTCACCTTTGCTATATACACATGTAATTAGAAATATATGTTAATATTCACATGTGTATTTTTAACCATTGATGCCTGTAATTGAGTGCTGGGTACCCCATAGGTCAAGAACCAAGAATGTGTGCTGGTTAGCTTTCACTGCTAACCTAACACAACCTAGTATTATTTGGGAAGGGAGTCTTAATAACTGCTTATCTAAACGTGGTTGGCATGTGTCCTAGTCTATAGGGGATTATCTTGATTGCTTGCTGATACAGGATGTCTTAGCCCACTGTGAGTGTCACTATTGTCTAGGCAGAAACAGTAAAAAGAGAAAGCAAACAAATAGAAAATACCTACATGTCTTTCTCATTGTTCTTGACTGGGGATTTGATGTGACTAGCTACTTGAATTTAAGCCTGATAGACTGTAACCTGGCTGGAAAACTAAGTAAGCCCTTTCTCCTCCAAGTTTCTTTGTCAATCTATTTCACTACAGCAATTCAAATAACAGTGCAGCCTTTGTACTGATTGTAGCATTTGTACAGCCACAACCTTTGATATGCCTTACATTTTAAAAGTAAGCTAAATTATGTAGCCTTTAATTTAAACATTAAGGAAATACGGGTTGTTTTTCCTATACGTCTGGAACTCATGCATTGATATTAAGAAAGAAATGACACATAGCTCTGTAACAATATATTAACATCTAATAATATATGTACCATTAATGTTGAAATTCATTGCGATAAAATGAAAGAAAAAGTCTCATGTTTTTATTACTGGGAAGTTGTTTCAAAAAAGCCAAGGTCTTAAAATTATTACTGGTTTTTTAATTGAAAATTAGTAATAGGCCATATGGTTGCTACAAAGAAGCTTTGCTTTATAAAAAAAAAATAAACATAACCTTTACAAAGAAATTGTGTCTGTTAATTTGTATGTCAGGATTTGGTAAAGTTTTATTTTCTCATTTTTCAAATAATAGTCTTAACAAATGATTTTATGTTTTCTCAAAGCATTAATTCCTACAAAAGATAATATTGTAGTAGCCATCTTTTTTGTGTGTTTACTAGATATATTATTTCATATAATCATTACCTCTTTATAACTCTGACATTATTCTTAGTACAGATAAGAAGAGAGGAAATTAGGAAATCATAGCTAATGAAATATTTTGTAGTTAATTGGAGGTGTATGAAACTGTAATTCCATTGCAATTGACAGAGTGTGTATATATGACATCAGCAAATATATGTATCATTCTCAGCTGGTCCTGTGTGTTTCCAGGAAATAGACATGGAGTACTTACATCTTAAGTATATGAAGACAGGGGTGCATAATGAGTAGTGAAATGCAAAAATGGGTGCTTCATCATCCTTTAATGCCTGTCTGGAGATAAGGTTTCCTTTCAAATGCAGTCTTCCTCACTGCTCAATTCAGTGACAAAATGGTGTCGCGTACAATTTTTAAAGTCAATAATCCGCAGTTGTATTAAGAAATATTTTATTAACAAAACAGTAAATTCCACTTGCTTAGCATTTCCAATAATGGATAGATTGGCCTTGCAACAGAGAAACAAAGTAAAACAAACCCCTTAGATACCCAGTCACCCGAAGCACTAGAAGGGTATAATTAAAGTGGCCTTTCTCTGACTTCTTAGGGATTCCATACATGATTGTAGTCATCATTTTTTTTTAAAGGCAACACATTACATGGATAAAAAAAGAAGCATACTCAATCAGAAAAGTTACAATCAAGAGAGATGTGATCAGTTTATGCCAGGTAGTGTGAAGTCCTTTGTGAGTTTCAAGTGACACATGGACCATGATGGGTATGGTTAGTAGAAAGATATTTGGGCTTTATTCAAGTCTTTTTCCTTCAACAATTCATAGTCCTCTCTTCCTTCTCCATTCAGGGAGGGGGGGAAACTTGCTAGGTTTTGTGTAGTTCAATAAAATTAGATATGTTTTTACCAGCACTATAAGTTTATATCAGTGTGTGAAAATTTGAAATTTATGCTCGGTAGAAACACTGAAATCAATTACAAATAACAAGCCTCCCAGCTAGACCACTTTAAAATACTACAAATCAAATTTTTTTCATCATTTTTTAGAATCCTTCCAAATGAAAGTAGTTTTAGTTAAGTAGACACAATGGAAAAGCAAACATACATATACATATATATGTATATATTATGTTTAATCTGTAAATTAGTGGTTTTATGTTCCTTTTTATTTCTCTGGCTTTCCCTGAGTAAGACTGAATGAGAGGGGTAGGGAGAAAAGACTTGTGAGTTCTTTTAACCTGGCAAAATAAAAATATATGAAGACTTGAAACAGAATTAATGGGTATTAAATTTTATGCCATCTATTTTCCAGGTGATGAAAAGTCTTTAAGACTTCTTACACAATTACTTGGCAGCTGTAGATCATCATGATTTGCTATGATATATATGTATTTTTAAGGTACTGTTATGTTTGAAATCCAGGCCACTTCTTGGCATATTTTTCATCAACTAAAGTATCACAAAAGGTGTTTTGTATTTTTTTTTTTGCCTTGCTGATTAAAGCTGATTGTAATGGTATCCTTCTCTTTTATGAATCCTAGCATCAATCTTTTAGAAGATGTTTATGTCATTTGACCAGTTTTTACAGAAGCATCACCCTGCAGCCTAAGCATCACCTTCTCACATTGACAATTTATTGCTATGAACATCATTGAAACAATATGCAAAACAAGTGTGTAATCTATACTTCACTACTACATACTGTATGTTAAACTAAACTACGTTTAATGATATAGATGTAAATCCAGAAAAGTTAAAATTTAGTCAATTGTCAACAAATATAGAATGATTTTAATGGGTAGTAATACAGAATCAAAAATTACCGAGAATACTTGTTTAGTTGAAAAAAAAATGTTTACTTTCCATAAAGCTTGATCACGCACGTCATGTTCAGAGAATATATATGATTTTACGGGGAAAAAGTTTTCATTGCAGCAGCCAGAGTTTGCCAACATGATTTCTGTAGCGTGCCTTAGAGTGACGTACATGTGTGCAGTGGTGGCTATCTTCTATTTCATTAAAAAAAGTTCCCATGTGTAGGACTAAGGACTGGAGGTTCCCTGGCATCAGGATTTCAATGAAGCATATCACCCATTTGTCATAGTACCTTGGCACAACTGTCTTTCTTCACACTTTTCATTTGTCAATATTTGTGTGGTTTGGTGTTCCATCAGATCAGATGGCTGTGTGTGTGTGTGTGTGTGTGTGTGTGTGTGTGTGTGTGTGTTGAACATATATAGAAATATAAATAATTGGGGGAAAGAAAGGATTGTATGATACTTAGGTATATATTTCACCTTCTAATTCACACCTTTCATACAAATACTAAAACTTAATAATGCAACAGAATGAAGGCTATACATGTAAGAAAAGAAGTAGCTGAGTTCTTTTATATACATTCATACATATCTTTCTTAGAATAAACACTACACTGTAATTTTTGTTTAAAAAAGTAAGTAATTGTGGGAATTTATAATGGTGGCAAAAAAAATCAGTCTGAAATAATTGTTGCTTCAATGTCATAAAACTCCCTATACTTAGCAACACTTATAACATTGAATTTACCAAAAATGGCTGAAGAGCAGAGATATATTTTGTATTTTCTATACAACAGGCTATAAAACGTCACTTATCACAGTCCAGAAAGCACACAGAGATGGGTTTTATATAAACATATGTAATAACATAGTAAGCGTGCATGAAAATTTCCCAATGATTGCATCTATGCCCTCTCATTTTTGTTTTGAAACTTTAGTGTGAAATGTGCCTTATATTTCACATTTTTGAAAATAAGGCCTCCATACTTTTTTTTTAATTCTCTCACAAACAGAAAGGGGCTTTTGAATGCCTTCCTACACAAGTATTCGAAAACTCCAGCACTTTGTCTCAAACGCAAGCTCCAACCCCTGCTCCAGTTGCCGCAGCTCGCCAACTCCTCCTGATCTGCAGATGGTCCCACAAACGGACTTTCTCCTGTGGCAGTCCACCTGAATGGCTCCTCCGGAAAGCGCTAGCACTTTGGCTGAATCCAGGATCATAGGTAGCTTCTTTGTGTGTGTGTGTTGTGTTGTGTGTTGGTTTTGTGCCTCGATGTAATACTCCTTCGCTTTATGAATGCGTGCGGTCCTCACCGTCTTTAGAATGTCCCGGCAACATAAAGACAGGCAGAGTAAATGAAAACACTGCGGATGTGAGGGAATTTATTGGCCCCTGTTTTTGTTGTTGTTGTAGTTGTTTGTTTTAGTATTTTCCCTTCCTTTCTTCTCTCTCATTTTTTTTGTTTATGTTTTTGAGAAACAAGAGCATGAGATACTTGTTTGTTTTTTTAAAAAGAGTTTTCCCTCCTGATTGCATTCCCTGTCTTCTTTTGTATGTGCTTCATAAAAAGGAAAGTAAATAAGTTTATATTATGTCTCAGATAAAATGAAGACTATTTCTATACAAGTGTCTTTTTCGAATCTTGAGATCAGACATAATACTCCTTATCCTTATTTTTCTTGTTTTTGTTGGCGCTTTTCGCACTGCTGGGCTGTTTCTCCTTGACCACGGCCCCATTGGACTGTGCTGAGTTACTGATGTAGTTTCGACTCTCATCCACGTGATATGACCCTTCATCCCGGTTTCTGTACTTGTACATGGCATACAGGAGGATGAGGATGCACAGAGCGGCGGCGGCGACAATGCCCACCACCATGCCAGTGGTACTGCTGGACTCGCGGATCACCTCTGCAGAGCCTGGGTAAGGTTCGCGGCCGCCCACTCTGGTGGGGTTGGCTGTAGGAAACAGGATGAGAAAAAAGTGATTATGAGTTTCCTGAAGGTCAGCAAACATGTTAACTCACGCATCTATTTCAGAGCCTATTTCAAAGTACTTGCTGCTTCGAGGAAAGTGTTATATCACTAAATTTCTCCTTCTCATGGCCACTACAATTTAGGGCCTCCATCCAAATTCAAAGTAATGGCAATAAAAGAACACTTGCCTGGTGAGTCAGCTACAAAACCCTTCCCCAAACCTCTCTAAGTAGAGGCAAAGCTCTCCCTTGGGAACAAGTGCTGGACTGTAGGGTGTCTGATGTCTTCTCTAAGGCCTAGGAAGGCACTGAGGCTGCCCACAGAACACAAAAGAAAGCAAGTGGGGTACAGTAGATAAGGGCAGGAGAGCAGTGGGCAGCTTTCTGCCTTCAAAGAGTGGAAGCTAGGGGGAAATGGCCTTTCCCCCTTTCTTTGATTTTCCATTGTTTAGCTTATCCAACAGGAGAAAAATAATACTGTTGTGGTGGGTTAAGAATGCCATACATAAGTTTCAGAAGTATGCACCCTGCTTTTAAGCAATCTCAAGATTCCATATATATGTACTTATGTACATACATATTGTACATACATATTTGAGTGTGCACATTTCTAGAAAGGTACCAGGTACCTGTTAATTACTTGGAAACATTTAACAACGGATAAAACCCTATTCTGCTTTAAAAATCCACTTTAAAGGTGGGGAGGATTTCTTTGCAGATAAATACATAAGCAGCTAAGTCTGGCAGCCTGCATTCAATCCTCAGACCACACAGGATAGGAGAGAACTCACTTTTGCAAGTTGTCCTCCATAAACTCACTGTCACCTATATGAGCTTCCACACTTGCCCACACCCACATATTTACACACTCACGCACGCGTGAGTGCCATTTCAAACATCACTAAGCTTCTTCTGCACAAACACAGGCTTTTTGCTGTTAGTTTCTTTTCTCTCATTAAATAAATCCTCATCAGTGTAGTTGCTTATAATACCCTGGTTCTCGGTCTCAAAGAGGAAGGAGCTACTTTCTATATCTACGGCATGCAGCAGGTGAACCCTTCTGCGGTGATTATGCCACCGCTTGTTTTTCAAAAGCCCTTGTAATGCTTCCTAAAAAGCCTAGGAGTTGTTTCTGTGTCCAAGGTGGAAAGGAACAAAGACTATAATCCACAGTATTTGATTACAGGAAATTAATTTGCTCTCAAAAGCCTACTAGAGTAACTCTGTCAGTACTAGACAAACCAAAGGCGGAACTTTCTCTTTAAATACAGTCATCATTGCCAAAGTGTGTCAATTAGCTCAGCTGCTAACTTTTCGTGAATGACAACTTAGTGTGTGCCTTTAGAACAGCGTTCTTTTATTATGGTGTCTCATTTTTTTCTGCACCTGATGAAGGAATGCTGAAACACATTTTTACAATAACCTCACTTTTTCAGAAAGAAACGAAGGGCTAATAAGAGAGAATCCTGTTCATTTCGCTTATGATATTACCACTGGTGGGCTTTAATGAAATTGATGGTGTAAATTCACTAAGCTAATAATGAATGCACGCATGTGTGTTTGTGCACAATTAAGAAATGGTGTTAGATATTTTAATACATTGATATCTCATTTTTTCAAATTTATATAATACGGCTTTAAAACAACTATGCAAGTGGAGCTAAATATAGATATGTGCTCACCGTGGAAGGAAATCACAAAGATAAAAGCAAACTCTAATTTTTGCTCTATAAGCATTTGATAAGTATCTCCTGTTAAAAAATGTACTTTCCCATACTGCAACACCAGCCAAAATGCTTAAGTCACATGAGAACTAAAAATATCTCTGCTTAACCCACTTTAAGAGACTCTAAATATCATAATTTAAAAAAAAAACATATATAACACTCTCTAAGAACCCCTGCTCAGATATAGTGCACGACAGCTCAGTGTCCAAGTGGGTTCCCTAGTAAGGGGAACAGGGACTGTCTCTGACATGAACTCAGTGGCCTGCTTTTTGATCACCTCCCCCAGATGGGGGAACAGCCTTGCCAGGCCACAGAGAAGGACAATGCATCCAGTCCTGATGAGACCTAATAGGCTAGGATCTGATGGAAGCGGAGGAGGACCTCCCCATCAGTGGACTTGGAGAAGGGCATGGGAGGAAATGAGGGAGGGTGCTACAACTGGGATACAAAGTGAATAAATTGTAATTAATATAAAAAATAAAAATTTAATTAGAAAACACTCTCTGACAACTAGAATCAAAACCCAATGAAAAAAATCTTTTCATTCCCTTCATTTACAGTAAAATTTTAATAGCCACTAATATAGGTATTTTTATAAACCTTTAGACTATACAGCTGTTTCCATATCTACTTGGTTAAATAATCCATCTTTCTATTTATGTTTCAAATCTGAAGGCTAAATGATACTTCCTTAACTTTTGTTATAAGGTCAAGTGTGTTTATATGTAAATGTGTGGAACATTGTTCCAAGATAGATGTACAATAACAGGCTACATAACTTCAATACATTTATGAACTAAAACTGTGGTCACTAATGTTTTATATTGTTGTTCTCTGAAAAAAATCTGAGTACATTTTATATTAATTTGAATATAGAAAATGTATGATAACAAGGCTAAAATGCCCTTTTATATAATGTATTCAAAAAATATGCAGAGTAGAAGAAGGGCATCCATATTTTAACCACTTATGACAGACAATATTAAAAAGATATTTTAATCAGAGAAACACATAATTAATATATTTCATAGATTGGAGAATTTTGCATTTTTCACACTTCATAATAAACACAAAGTACGTCTCTAATAATTATAATTATCATCAATGCACTCCTGGGCCTCCGTGAAAGCTGTATGAATGAACTGAAGATCACTTTCATCCATTTCCTTTCCTTTGGTCCCAGCACTTAGGGTCAGAGTGAGGCCAGTCTCTGTGTGTTCGAGGATAGCCTGTTCCCCAGGATAGCCAAGGCTATACAGAAAAATCCTGTCTTGAAAAATCAACAACAACAGCAATAATAATATAATAAAAAGGAAAAGAGAAAAATAAAGGAGAAATAATCACAGGCAAATAAGCTTTAAATCTAGAACTGTTGAAAATGGACTCTGTTAGGAAGGTACATGTATTTTGTTAGAGCCAGTTCATCACACTGGGCCTTGTCATAAGCTCCATGGAACTCTTGGTGGTCACAAAAGGAGCCAAGAAAGAGATGTGATGTGGTATGTCTAGAAGTGGAAATGCATTAAACTTCAGTGGTCATACATATTTCACTTTATGGCTAGGTAACCAGAAAGGGAAGAAATAAGTAGGTGAGTTTTCTAAGTACTTAAAGAACTTATGTTTACTCATAAAATTAAAAAAAATAATTAACTACACAGATGTATGAAAACACAACCAACCTATTATTATATTGCACATTTTCCCCATGCAGTTGCCTCTACTCAGAGAAAAATGTAGAAATAAGTCATTACTTCACAGAGTCAGCTGGAATCAAATGTAAAATGTGTCATCTACACTATGAGGAGAGAGAGTATGCCAATATTGATAGTAACACAAAGGCATCTGAACTTTGGTGGCCAATTTAATCTAAATGACTCTGAGGCTGTTGATGGCTCTGAATAGAGGAGAAGGCCTTGTACCTGGGTCAGGACATCACAGTCAGTTCTTTTCTGTCACACTCATTTCTCATACTTAGTCAAAACTGCAAAAAGGAGACTCCTGCACTGACAAGGAAAAGGTGGCCTTTGATTCTGTTTTCATCCCTTCCTCCCTCTTTTACATGTTTCTTCCTTTCTTTTCTTTCCTGTTCTCACTCTCCTCCTTTCCCTTATCTCTTCTCCCCTCTTTCTGTTGTCTCCCATTATGACACTATCTAAAAATTTTTGACATGGTCTGTTTTGGTCCAGCAGATTGAGGAAGAATCTTGTATGCTAGATCCATGCCTTTCATAGTCTGGTTAACATTGTGGCACATTATATGAGCATTTACCTTCCAGTGTTAGGAGGGATAACATTTCTCCACCACAATTGTCAGAGGATGAGTCAGTGTAGCCATATGAAATCCAAGCGACTTATTTCAGTGTTTTGTTTTGTCAAAATAGTATTTCTATTTGCTACTTAAAAGTTTTGAAGTCATAGTTTTGAAATCTTAATTTGCCTTTGTGTTTGCTGCTTTCATGTTTTTCTTGGTGTGTCTTCTGTACCATTCTTTTCCAGCTCCTGACTTGTCCTGTTGGATGCCCTTGTAAGGGCATCTGGTGAGTGCGTCCCACAGTGGAAAGGAAGCTGGTGAGATCAGTGCAGTTAGGAGCTCTGCCTAATGGGGTTCATGTATTATTAAGCAAGGTGCTAAGCAAATGGCAGAAATACTGCCAAACTGCTACATTCAAAGCACAACATAAAAATCTTCTTTATTGTCTAAAATGTTTAAAGGTGAAACCTTCACCAGAATGTTCTTTGTGTTTTATATTAACATTTTAATGTTTGATTTTCTAAATTTATTTACAGGTAAAGTTATATTCTTTATCAAATGATATTGCTTTAACAAATGATATTAGTTCGCTTATTTAAAAACATTCTATCCTGGCATGGTGCTTTACACTTTGAAGTACTGCATTATGGGGTTCATGTCCAGACTGAACTACATTGCAAGCTGCAGGCCAGCAATAGCTATAAAATAAAGACAAACAAATAAAAAGTAAAACAAAAACACTGCAAAGCACTCTTCTGTAGATGGCAACATAACATGTAAGGTGCATTAAGGTACGGAGCTTTGCCTGCACATTCCACTCACATGTCTGCATCTAGTTACACTTTACAATATGAAAAGTGAAAGAATAAAATTCACAATTGCATTGCAATATTATTCTGTTCTAAACTAAGCATTTTAAAAGGCAAAGTTTTGAAAGTAAATGATTTTTTCCAAAATTGTTAGGTAACAATGGGAAACATTTGGCCTCTTGGTTACTCTTTCTGAA